TGTGTGTGTGTGTGTGTGTGTGTATAAGCTATGGGGTTTCCTTTTGCTTTACTTATCCCAGAGTAGGAACTAGAGAAGCTAGCAACCTGAAAATGCCATTGGGTGCAGACAGAATTTTTTAAAGACCCAAGAAAAGCCTGTTCTTTCTAGTCAAAGGACCAAGAATGGGGCAACCAAGCAAAACCAAACTTTCAGACAATAATGACCCTACTGTAGACAAAGACTATGAAAAAAATCTCAGGCCCCAGCCCCACCCAAGCCAGCAAAGGGCCACATATGAACTCTTGACTTTCACCCTCATTAGGCTATGAGGAGGCATGACCAAGCTCCCACTGAGGTAGTGCTAGAAAGAGCAGAATAGGGAGTCAAGATTTTTATTTCTATTAGGTAGTAATAAGCCTCCACTTGTGCTGTCAGTGGAGGCCTAATGAGGAATATGAATTTCCATATCTGCTCAAGAGTAACAGGATTCCCCTGGCCCCCAGGCATCATGGAACATGAGTAGGGAACCTGGAATTTCACCCCAACCACCCCACTGGTGCAAAGTCTGAGGAGATCTGCTAAAACAGATTCAATGAGATCTGGAGTCTCATTACATAATACCCAAAATGTCTAGTGTACAATAAAAATAAATCACTCATCATACTAAGCCCCAGAAAAATCTCAACTTGAATAAGAAAGACAATCAACAGATACTAACATCAAGATGATACAGTTGTTAAAATTATCTGACAAGAATTTTAAAGTAGCCATCATAGAAATGCTTCAATAAGTAATCATGAACACACTTGAAATAAATTATAGAAAGTCTCAGAAAAGAAGATAATGTATAAGGAAAAACCAGATAGAAATTGCAGAACTGAAATACATTATACAATAACCAAAATAAAAAACCTGATGGATGGGCTCCACTGCAGACTGTAGTGTATAGATGAAAGAGTTCTTGAATTTAAAGACAGAGTAACATATATTATCTGATTCAAACAATAAAAAGAAAACAGACTTTTATAAAACAAAGCCTCTGGGATTACGGGATAAAAATAAAAGATTTAACATTCACTGACGTCATTGGAGTCCCAGAAAGAAAAGAAAAAGTATGAGACTGAACAAATAGTAGAAGAAATAACAGCACAAAATTTCCCAAGTTTGGCAAAATGTATAAATCTACAGATTGAAGCAAGTGAGCAAATCTCAAGCAGGATAAACTCAAAGAAATGAGGGCAAGACACATCACAATCAAACTTCTGAGAACAAAAGACAAAGAAAAAATCTTGAAAACAGTGTGAGAAAAGTTACACTTGATTTTTAAAAGAAAAAAGAAACAACTATAATGACAGCAAATTTCTCTTCAAAAACCATGGAGGCAAGGAAGAAGTGGGAAAGCATTTTTCAACTGCTCAAAGAAAAGAACTGTCAATGCAGAATTCTATATCCAGAAAAAATACACTTTAGAAATGACAGACAAACAAGAATATTTTTAGATAAGAAAAGTAGAGAGAATTTGTAATCAACCTAAAAGAATAGCAAAAAGAAGTTCTTGAAACAAAAAAAGGAAATGGTTAAGAGAAGGAATGTTGGAGCATAAGAAAGGAAAAGAAGAACAGAAAGAATAAAATTTAATAGACTTTCCTCCTTCTCTTATGTTTTCTACATGATATTTGCTGGTTGAACCCAAAATTATAAATTTATCTGATGCATTTCTAAAGGCATGCAGAGGAAATATTTAAGACATTTATACTATAAATGAGGAAGGATAAAGGGACTTAAAGGGAGGTAAGTGTTCCACACTAAAACTGTTAAAATGTTGATATCAGTAGACTGTAATGTCATATAAAAATAATATATATCTAAAGCAAGCACTAAAAATCTCATATAACAAGATACACTCAAAGCAACTACACATACATCAAAATGGAATTCTAAAAAATGTTCACATAAATCACAACAATATAGGAAAAAGAAAACAGAGAAATGAAAACAGAAAGAACATAAAACAAAAATTAAATAAAATGGCAGACTTATCAATAACATATCAATATGTTGATAACTACGTTAAGTGTAAATGTTCTAAATATACGAATTAAAAGAAATGATTTAACAAATATAATCCAACTATATGCTATTTAATACAAAAAACTCACATCAAATATAACAATATAGGTAGGTTAAAACTAACAGAATAGAAATGACATACCATGCAAACATTAATCTAAAGAAAGTATGAGTGGCTATACTGATTATCAGAAAAAGTAGATATCAGAGCAAAAAAAATTATTGCCAGAGACAGAGAGGGAATTGCATAATGATTAAAGGATCATGTAAAAGGAAGACATAGAAATTTTAAATGTGTATGCATCAAACAATAGACCTTTAAATTACAAGAAGCCAAAACTGACAGAATTTAAGGAGAAATAGACAAATTCTCAATTGTAGTTGGAGATGTCAACATCCTTCTCTCAACAATGAATAGAAGAACTAGATAGAAAATAAGCAAAGATACAGATGAACATAACACCATCATCAACAAGATCTAATTGACATTTATAGAATACTCCATGCAACAACAGCAGAATACGCATTCTTTCCAAGTGCCCAAGAGTATGCACTAAGACAGATCATATCCTTGGCCATATAACAAAACTCAACAAATTCAAAATAATTGAAATTATATACATTATGTGTTCTCAGATCAAAATGGAACCAAATTAAAATCAATAACAGTAGAATAACAGGAATATCTCCAAGCACTTCTAAACAAGCCATTGGTCAATGAAAAAGTCTCAAGGGAAATTAAAAAAAAAAACTGACCTGAATGAAAATGAAAATATAACATATCAAAATGTGGGGGATGCAGCTCAAACAGTGCTGAAAGGAAAATTAATAGTACTAAATACTTACATAAGAAAAAAGGAAAAGTCTCAAATCAATCATTTAAGTGCCATGTTAACAAACTACAAAAAAAATGAAAATAAACTCAAAGCTAATAGTAGAAAGGAAATAATAAAAATAAGAGAAGAATTTGATGAAAAGAAAAAAGAAAGATCAATGAAACAAAAGCTGATTCTTTAAAATTATCAATAAAGTTAACAAATCTCTAGCAAGCCTAACAAAGAATAAGAGTGAAAAGATACCAACAAATTCATAAATGAAATGTGATTTTACTACATACTATGCAGATATCAAAGGAATAATAAAGGACTACTATAAAAAACTCTATGCACATAAATGTGACAACTTAGATCAAATGAACTACTCCTTGAAACACAAGAACTACCAAACTCACCTAACACAAAGAGTAAATTGAATATCCATATAATTACTAAAGAAATTGACTTCATAATTTTAAAATTCCTGAAAAAGTAAACTCCATGCCCATGGTTTCACTAAAGAATTTTAGCAAATGTTTAAAGAAGAATTGATACCAATTCTACCCAACCTCTTCCAGAAAATAGAAAAGGAAGCAACACTTCCCAACTCACTTTATAAAGTTAGTATTACCCAGATACCAAGACAGGACCACAAAACGAAAACTACAGGCCAATATTCCTCATGAATGTAGATGCAGAAATTCTTAACAAAATATTAGCAAATAAATTTCAGCAATAGATAAATATACCATGACCAATTCTAGGGATGCAAGGCTGATTAAATATTTGAACATCAGTTTAAATCCACTAGATGAACTGGTTAAAGAAGAAAAGTCAATTGATACAGAAAAGTCATTTGACAAAATTCAATACCTATTCATGATAAAAATTATCAGAAAACTAACAATTGAGGGGAATTTCCCCAACTTGATAAAGAACAGCTATAAAATACTATGGCTAATATCATACTTAATGGTAAAAGATTGAATACTTTCCCTCTATAATCTAGAGCAAGGCAGGGATGTCTGCTCTCACTACTTTTATTCAACGTAGTACTTAAGATCCCAGCAACTGCAGTAAAGCAAGAAAAGGAAATAAAGGCATACAGATGGAAAGGAAAATATAAAACTTTCCCTATTTTCAGATGATATTGATTGTATACATGGAAAATCCC